GAACTTACTACTTAGGGCCTATATGTTTTCCATCTCAAGCACGATATTGTGTTGTGATATCCTGACGATTAACAATCAATGACATGTTTGGGATTCTGTTTTATCAAACAAAATCCAAAATGGGAGGACTTATAATAATCAGTCTCTTTTCCTCTAAGGTACACAATCATAGAATCCTTGGTGAATTCTTGTTCTAATAGTACTTTTCCTTACTCCACCAATGGTGAGAGTATCACGAGGATTTACATCGTAAATCACGATTAGTTCTGTTTCTCTGGATAACGCCTTGAATTTCACGTCTTTAATTTGACTTTCTGTATTTTCCTAAAATTTCAGATATAACTTACTGTCTACTTTCATCACGATTCATATGGTTTCCACGTTTGAATGTAAACTTTGTTTTTCTTCAAATATATATAGATTGGATCGTAGTGATGAGTATAAACTTATTAAATTACCGAGCATGTATATTTCTTTTCATTTCTTGTTGTCATTATTCTGAAAACAATGATAAAAACATTATATAACTGTAACACATATAAATCTGATGGTATTAAATGTATAAAGTTACATAAAAACAATAAATACGTAGAAAGAATGTCGATCAATGAATTATTCAGTGGTAAATAATACCAAATACTATTGAGTTCTACAATAAAAATGGTTTGCGAGGCATATCTAAAAAATTCCAAGAGGCCATCAATTAAAAAAGTTGCAGCAAATACAGGATTCCTTATATAAGTAGCAATCACAAACGGACTTGCAATTGCAATTTATACATGTACCTGTGTAGATACCATTACATAGGAAACTCAACATGATTTCCCTTTTATTGTGAATGTGAACTTAAGGTTTTTTTTCTCGAAGTCACAGTCAATATTCTAATATTGAATTTTATATTCCACATACTAAGAATCTTGCTCTACGCTTGGTCAAAAGTAAATCACGTGATGAAAGATAGTTCGCCCATTATTGATGGAAGCAAAAAGTTTGTTACACTGTGTAGATAGTACTACTATCTACAGTGTAACGCACTTTCACTGAAGATAGAGGTACTATCTGCAAGGGGCAACGCACTTTCAATGAAGATTATCCAAAAGCGCACTAAAACAGGCGTAATTAAGCGCGCATTACAAATGAGCGCAATTAAAACAAACACATGCGCGCACCGTACCCTCAAGGGGTTGGGTTAAACTGTTAAACTTTTTTGGTGTGAATTTGGGCATGGTGTCTTTTATGTAGATGCATACACGTTCTTTTCTTTTTGTAGTTAAATTGTTTTAGATGTGGAATATAAAGCAATTAATCACCTTTTGGTTTCAGGCGAAGGCACACTATCACTTCCTCATCGATCAGAATGTATACGCTATCTTTCCTCAGCTTCGCTTCGAAAAGATAGCTACATCCAGATCGACTCGGAAGTGATAGTTTGTCCCATCACCTTCACCAACAGTAGTTATTTGCTTACTAGTGCGTAAAAGAATGGTCGCAAAGACTATCAAAAATCAACATAAGGCAATTTAAATAGTCTTATCCATCATCACCTACTGAAATATGTGAACAGTACAATGATGTGTATTACATAATCTGAACAAGGTTTCTATGGGCAATAGAAGGGGTATTGAAATGGCTCTAAGTGGATTTCCCCAAAATCTTTGTGATCATGTTTTAAGTACTAACAAGTTACTTATATCATCTTAGACGAGATGTACAGAATCATGTTTTGTTCATTCTTTGAAGCCAATGCAATTACTGAAGACTTAACTTCAAAATGCAGCAATGTTTTATACATGTATTTTTTATTCATTTTCCAGAAGAAGTAAGAAATATATATACAAATACCTATGCAACATGTTAAAAATATTTTCCTACTGATAGTACATTACATAAAAAATGTATGCAAAACAAAACATCATTACAATAGCAATAGGAATAGCAAACATTTTACTTCATAAACATCAATTAACTCATTGTCTACCGGAACCGTGTGGTCCCTGTGTTATGCGTATGGGAATGAGTGAATTTCAGTGAAAATCATTATAGTCAACAGGTTATTGCATAGGCTGGAAAGAATGTGCTGAATATAGTGCAAATTCAAAGTAGATATACACGTGCATACAAAATTGCATTTTTAACAGTAGCAAATAAAGGGTAGATATTTAAAGTTCGATGTACTATTCTACAAATGTTACTACGTTCATCAAGTCCCCAACAATGTGGAACTTTGATTAAGCTATGCAACCATGAGGTACCGAATAGCTCATCAGCGAGATTAGTTTGACCAGTTTGACCAGTTTTCTCTAGAACATCCTTCAAGGCTTCACAAACTTTGCCCTTGGGTTGCTTCTTTGTCCAGTCTCGGAGCATTGATAGTGTAACCATGTATGATGAATCTTTATTATCGTTGGCATAATGTTGGATATCTCCTGGTTGAAGGCCAAGAGCCTTTCTAAGTTTTTTGTTATCACCACGCGTAGCAACTTCTTGAGCAACAGTGATCAGCTTTTTTTTAAAGTCGACCTATTTACCTGAACTGTTCCTTAAATAAATTGTTAAAACAAATAGTTTAGTATGTATCTAATTACATGTACTGAAATCAGGGGAAGGCGGTGATGAAGGAAAATAATCTCATATATTATTGAAAGAAATAATGTCCACACTCTAATCATGCAGTTTCTGCAGCAATTTCATTATCATTTACGTTGCAACAATCTCTGTAATAAAGTTGTTGTTTTGGGGGCAAATTTGTTGGGGCAAACTTCCCCCTTGCCCCTCGCTCCTCCAAAGACATTAGTGTTTCCAGGTTTATACCTGCACATGCTCTGATCTCAGTCTGAACCTACTGAATCAACATTCCTCTGCACATGCTGCTTGATCTTCTCGATGAGTTCATCAAACTTTTCATCCTCGAACCTGGCCTGAGTCGACTCCTTGCTACAATCGATGTACAGAACCCCGGTAAAGATCATGCCCATAGGTCCTTCAAGTGGCCATATCTTTTCAAGCAGCAGCGGAATGATGGGTTTGCCGAGATCATGAGAGAGACTCACTTCTTTTTGGCAGTTGGGGGAGAGGGCGTAATTAGATGTCACGCAAGAAATGACAACCTGACAGAAAAAAATTATATGGATTTCTTTAAAACGTTTCAAAATATGCTGTCTGCACATTAGTTCTTACAATGTGTTTTCTTATTCTTTTATTCTAGAATTCCATAAGATGGAAGAATCTTCATGAAACACCTTGAACTAATTATTGAAGTGGGGGTATTATGAGACCCAAAAAACTAATTCAGTTATGTAGGTCCTCCAACACTTGCGTTATAGGCATTGGGTTGCAAGTTGGTTTTAGTTTAGTTTTATTTATAGGGTTAGGTTTAGTTATATGTTTGGTCCAGAATTGTAGTTATGCATTCAGTTAGCATAGGAACTTGACGGCGACCAAATGTGTTGACCCATTATTATTGTCCATCGAGTATATCCATGTCGTATAAAAAAGTTAGAAACCCTTCCTGAAATTGTCTTTTATTGTACATGTGAATCATGTGGAGCGGATAGTTAATTCAAGTATAATTCATCATTTCCCAAAGGATTGCTTTGGAATCAGTCCATCAGGAGTTCAACAAAAAATCATGTTACCTGCTCTCCCCCTAACAAAAATATTACTAAAATGTGAAATGAATTCGTAATAACAAAGTTTCCACCTGTGGTCTCTTTCTTTCACTGTCAATGATTGCTTGATACTAATATTGTAGGTCTATATACCTTAGCATCTCTCACTCCCTTAGCAATCTCAGAGAAGAGTACATCCCCACCACCCATCTGCTTGAAGTCTAACCAGCAGTGGTATCCAAGATCAGTGAGACGTGAGTACAGTCTCTTGATCTCAGGCTTCTTGTCCCATTGATACGAGATGAATATGGACGGGGACTCCAAAGTCGCCTGAATCGAGAGAGAAAAAACAGAAAACAGATCAGCTATGACATTGGGCAGGCACAAACACAATTTAAACTATTGTAGTTGGACATAGATTTTTATATTGGAAATTAAAAAAACTTTAGAATCAAAGAAAAGAATATAATAATTATAGAGACCAAGCATAACTAAACCCTGACATAAACAAGAGATTCAAATTACTATCCTCTTATGAAATATATGAGCTAAAAAGATACATTTTTTAAGGCATTTGGTTGGTTAAATGATGGATATCATTATATAAATCATTATATAAAATTGTGCGAACCACCAAAATTATTTACAATGAAAATCATAATGAACTGAATTCACATCATGTTGGCTGGGGACAGTTAGCAAGGACAGCATTTCGCTAGGATGACGGACACGTTTAAACCACCCCCACCCCCATCCACCTGAATGACGAATAAGGTCGTGAGAAGAAGACAATTAAAAAAAGGGTGCAAAAGCAGCGAAAAAGAAAGTTTGATTGCTCTATCCTCTCCCGCACCTATTTCCGCCCCACCCCTGCTCCACTCGACGGCCCTGTCATTTGCTTTTCATCCTCCAAAATTAGACTGCTAATCCCATACAATCGGCAACCCCTTCCCTCCCCCTTCTTCCCCATGGCTGGATCCTCGACCCATGCCAATGGTACCTCGGTACCTCGGATAAAAGAAGTAGGTACCAGGGGTATACTTCAACGCTTGTTGCATATTCAGTAGGCCTTCACATGACACAAACACGTGAAATGGTGGTTCACTTCGAATCATCAGGTCATCGCGTCCGGTCGGGTGGTTGCGTTACAAGACCTTTTGTGAAAACATGCCCTTTTTTAACGAAATGTCAGGGTCAGTGTTTATGAAATAAATCCCTGTCATCTTCAAATGATCTGGTTCAATCTACCAGACATTTTGTAAAAACCCTACTGCAAATCTATGAAAAGTTGCATCATCTCCTGCTTTCATTTCACGATAGGTCGTGTAACGCGACCAATCGACCGGACGCAGTGACCCAATGATTCGAAATAAGCCGAAATGGTGGTCCTTACTGTGACATGGCTTTGTAGCTGTACTGGCGAGTTCTCTGTAGCTGTACTGGCGAGTTCTCTGCTGGAACAATATTTACACAAAAAAATATATTACTGAAAGAAAGTAATTGCTCCTGTGATTGCATAAGGCACATTTTTTTAATGTAGTCATAAAAGAATCATAAAAGTATTATTTATTTCTTGTTCTTTGAAGTACATGTTAATGTAACATAACTTTTATAAAAAATCTTAATTCTAGTATGGACAAATATTTAAGGATTCGGAACTGTATATTTTATTGAAGGGAAGAACCATGATGTGGGATTATTTCAGTAAAGTAGTATGAGTAACAATGAAGTACTTGCACCTATTATAATTTTATAAAGAAAAAATGTGTTGCAATTTTTTCTATTAAATAGTAAGTTTAAATTGGAAATTTCTCATTTTATTATCTATTGATGCCATATATACTAACGTTAATACTGGATTTCCAAATTGCTAAAAAAAAATTGTAAATCACTTTGACATTTATCTTTTTGATTTGTATCTGACATATTCACTGACAATTCTTTCAAAAAACTATTGTACACAAATTTGATATCCTTTTTAAGTTTACAGTAATCAATCAATAAAGTATCTACACAATTTAGCGAAAAACATTCTTTTTAAAAATGTCCATGTTTCAAAATATGTATCCAGCTACTAGGTAATGCAGAAATAACTCTGAATAGTATAAAATAAATTAACCTGACAAAAGGTTCACTTAACTTTGGAATTGATCTAACAACATAAATGAACCATCAATGTGCAAAATATCCTTATATATATCATATCATATTGGGGTGGCATGCTTTCGAGTAATTTTTGTCACCCCTGACCAGCAGATTGTACCCTTCTCTCTCTCCTCTACACTTTCCTAAAACTGTTTGCATGTATTATACAATCTCTATGTATTATCTAATTGTTATACTCACTGTATGTTTTCCAAATGGTCAAATAAATAATAATACAATAATAATATCAGAATTAAAATGTCTAATATTGAGATGTCTTCCATGGACCAATATATGACAAATCAGGCAAAATTGTTGTGAAATAATTTCCTTAAATTCAATTAAGTTATAATATTTATAGTGACTCCATGCAATCAAAATATCATACTGGAAAGTATCTGCATATTCATTGAAAATTAAATGATCAGAGCGGAGATTGCCGCTGAAAAAACCCATCACCTACCATAGGTCTCAGAGATTGTGCAGAAAACATTTTCAATTTACTTTTGTTTCCCTCATCAAAGTATCTCTTTATCCAAGTAACTTTCATTGCACGGTTAAACGATAATAGATGAGGCATTTTAAGTCCTCCTTCTTTATATTCATTGTAAAGCAAAGAGCATCAAAGTTGTGTCCTTTCTATTACCCTATACAAATTAAAAGAGCATTTTCTGAAATTCTAAAAGAATGATAAAGGGAGATCTGGAAATTACAAAGTAACTAAATCAATTTTGGTTTAGCAAGAAACTTAATAATGGTTACCTTTCCAAATAAGGTGGAGACCTACGATTTCACATATGCAACGTTGTCTTATATTCCTCAAAATTTGATTTGAAATTAAGATAATAAAAACTCAAATAACCATTCAGATCTATTAGTACCTTAGTATGTAAAATAATTTTGTGTAGATATCTACCATTAAATTCCAAAGGTTTTTCCTTATCCCCTTGCATAGCTTATCCATAAGGTATTAATTTAATCGATTTCTCCAAGCGGACAATCTCAGGGACTATCACTTGATGTGGTTTATGTTTTTTTTTTTTTTTTTTTTATGTCATATTTTCCAAATAGTCATTTTAGATTTTATACAGGCCCTTAAATCTCAGTCTTGGATATTTGTAAGATTTCAGGCGACTTCATATATGAATGGAAACAATTTCAATTTTCAGAGGAATATACATTCTTTGCCGGGGACTTCGAAAATATGGCTTTACACTGAAAATTTGCTGTTTGTAAGTACATTTTAAGGTTTCACAAAATCTATGTCTTCTTTTTTTATCTTCATAGGCAATACATCTGAGCGTTGGTATCCACAAATCAGTAATAATTTCTTTTGTTTTAGAAATATCTAATTGAAGAAAATTCAGTTTGCACAAATGTTCAAATTGTTGACATCCAACCAGTTGTTTACCTCATACTGCCTTATGAGACCCACTGTGTCACACATTTCATGTCATATTTTTTCTCTGAATATTATTTTGTTTGTTAGTAGTAGTAGAATTAGCCACTTTATGACAGCTAAACCAAAATTGTTAGGAACCAATGATGCTGCTACAATGCGGTCCTAATTTGAAAGTGTGTCACTTTTATATCGACAAATGCATTTGAAAGCTATATTTATTGCACAAACTAAGTATACTGTATATACTTTCATCATCTGAGCGACTCAACGTTTTAAATGAAGTTTGAAATGTGAGTAGGTTGAAGAAGAATTGGTTAGTAAATCATACACAACAGTGTGCTTTACATGAAATTCACTGTGAATTTGGAGAACATAGAAATATGTTTAGAAAGCAATCCTAAGACTTTGTCAACATTCCAACTCATTGATCATGTTAACAAAATAATTGAGACGTTATAGTATACATAATAATCGTCCTATGGCAATTATTTAGGCAATAGAGGCAAATTATTAAGAGATTGAAACTGAGCCGTGAACATTACTCCTATACAATTTTAGAAACAGTCACAATAGATTGTATATGACTTTGTATACATGTACATACCTTGCACCTTGCACCGTTGAAGCAGGCGTTGTGTGTCTTGGGTGTTGCCCTTTGAATCAAATAAAAGTAGCGGAAATAAGGATTTATATAGGTAGCTAATACATTCCAAAGGCAACGCTTCTCAAGGTCTTCTATGTTATTGAATTATTATCTTCACAGAGATTTGGACAATTTTCAAAACAGAATATAAAAGGATGTATTTATTTTTACAATGCAGAATTAAATTTGCAAATTAAGAGAGTATTCATGGGTATTTTATTCAGTAATTCAAATCATGAAGGTCAATTAAAAACAAAATCAATGGGATTACACAAAATATGGAAATAAAGACAAAATGGACACAAGTAAAACTTCCCCTGAAAGATAACATGTTGAACATACTTTTCAGAAGGAACCCTATATCTACGAAGATTTAACTGGCATGAATCAGATTGCCTTTAATGTATGAAACAGGTACTAAACAGTGCTTTGAAATACATGTGAATTATTAAATAAATCAGGTCAATTCCAAGTTACAATATGAAATTTTCAGAGAGTTGTCAATTTTGAAGAAAAAAAATATAGACATGTTAATAAACATACACATACATTAATGATATGATATCAAAAAACTTCTATGAGATACTTTCACAACAGCTAAGTTTCCTATCAACAAATTTTAAATAATATTGTATTTTCAATAGCTTTGTTACAGAATAACCAAAAAATGATAAACTATTACATTTCCTAACAAAGTAAATAAAATGAACTGTTACATAGATTTCATGAATGGTTGATACGGCACCCTAAAGTTCTGAAAGTATCTCATATTAGTTCATATATCATATCATTAATTTAATTTTTAAAATAAAATTGACTATGATATTATTCATTAAAAATAGAAATCTCTCTGGAAAGGTCATTCCTTAATGCTAGAATTTGACCATAAGTAAGATCCAACTATCATTGATTTATGAACGTGTACAATTGTGATTTTATTCTCAATTATTAACAGTGCTAAAGTGAGTAGATGAATCAGCATGCATTTACAAAATTGTATCAACTGACACTTTGTTACATACCCATTTCATCAGCAGAGAAGTATTTATGTACCAAGCGGACAAGGCCGGCTTTCTCCATTGCAGCTTTCAAATTTCCCCTTTCATTAGTCTCTGTTTGCCCATCACGCCACTTTTTAAGCATTTGCAAAGTGCCCTCGGTTGTGACTGTGAGCCTGTTTTCATCTTTGAAGAGCTTAATTTCTGCAGGTGTGAATCCTAGATGCTCTCCTAAGTCATCGAAGTTATCATGTTTGATTTCCTTAGCTATCTTCTTCAAAAATTGGTTGAAAGCGTCGGTGTTGTCACTCATTTTGCTGAAGGAGTAAAGTATAATGGTGTAAATATAATTTTTTTAAATTCTATTGATTGTCAAAATTGGTTATTATTTTATTCTATTTATATTATTTATTTCTTTCAATAAAAACTCCTCATTACTGTAAACGCGGTACATTAATTTTCACGGATTTCGCGCTAAAGTAGGTGTCCGTGAATTTTAGAACTCGCGAATATGTTTTGGGGTCGTTAAGCCCGAAAAATTAATCACACAAAAATAACAGCGTTTACAATATACTGTGTGTTTGTCAATTATATATGAATATATTGAGTCATATTATTCAGCAGTCATATAGTATCAGTCAAATTACATATTAATGGACAATATGCTCTTGCCTACTCCGCATTAATGACATGGGCAACTCTCTTCAAAGCTGGTTAGGAAAGCGTTTACGACCTACCAGGTACGCATGAAAATATTGAGATCGCGATGATGATAAATTAATCATTCTTAAAACCTATATCATGAGTTTATCACAATGTCCCCTGTACAGACTGTAAACATATTTTCTAGATATAGATAATTAGGTAACTAGGCAACTTTAATACCTATGTTCACTGCCAGCAGCCTGTGTGTGAAGGGATACAATATGTTCCTCTTGCACGCTTTGTATTGTTATCCCAACTATATTATACATTCAAGAACCGGAGAATTCCACTCACTTTTATTCTCATTAGGTGGGTGGAAAACTTGTGTGTATGACAAAAGCAGGGAGGAGCTTTTATCAGAGTCTGTCTTATACCACAGTCAGCCTGACGGACTGATAAAAGGGCCCCGTCTAATCATGAGTCATCGCAAGTCCTCTAATCAATTTAAGTTTGCATTCCTCTATTTCTTATCTATGTAGTCGCGATTAATGAACTAACAAAACAAAAATTATTTCAATTCAATTTATTTGGTATCAAATTACAAATCCTAAATACAGAATACATAGTACGCCAGGAACCTTAAAGGACAAGTCCACTCCAAAAATAACTTACTTTTAATAAAAGCAGAACAATCAGACAAACCAAACGAACAAAGTTTGAGCAAAATCGGATAACTAATAAGAAAGTTATGAATTTTTCGAATAAAGTATGTAAAACTATGGAACAATGAGAATCACAACACAATTTGCCAAGATGGTTATCAGTTGGTGACGTCATGTCCTCACATTTTATCAATTGCTTTATTTAGTTTAATCCCATTAATTTCCCTTTTTATCCCCCAAAACTTGATTTTCCCATGCCTTTGCCCAGGTTATATGATTTGTATCATATTGCGTACATGACATTTTCCAAAAACTTTTATGAATTTTGAAGAATTGACACTATTTTCTGAATATTGTATTTCATAATTATTGATTTTTATATAAATAGTTTATCAAAATTCAATTTTTCATGATTTAACTGGACAAAACTTACTCTTTATTTGTGCATCCACACAAAAACATATTACTAACGATCTAACTTGGATGCTGGTGTAAAGAAATAAGGTTCTTAGGGTGAAAATAGGAAATTTATACTTTCAATATAAAGAAAATAATTAGTGGATAGTGAGAACCATACATCACAAACTCATGAGTTGCCAATTCATGTCATTAAAAAGTCATAACTTTCTTATTAGTTATCAGATTTTGCTCAAACTTTTTTTGATTGGTTTGTCTGATTTTTTCTGGTTCTATTGAAAGTAAGTTATTTTTGGAGTGGACTTGGGCTTTAGGAAGTAACTTGTGTTGGTATATGAGACCCCTAACAATTTGAATACAATAACAAATTAAATTACATATGTCTGTATATATATTAAAAAATAAAAATAAAATAAAAATGACCTTTAACTACAGCAGGTATATCATCTTCAATGTGCACCCACCCACCAAAAAAACACTACATTTTCCCTGATAGTCAGGACTCAGTCGGTGTGGCGTCAGTTTGGGGGCGTGACGGTGGTATGTACTTGATTAATAATGGAGACTTAAGGGGGCAATACAAATTTAGTAACTGTTTTAATCGTTTTCTCCTTTAGAAATTTTAAAGATGTTATTTTAGTTTTTAGTGTCAAATAGAATGGGAAACCTGGTGAGGAATGGGTTTAAACTCATATATACATATTCCTTCCCCAAATGAATGATCACATTAAACAAACGCTCAGAGGAATTTTCGCACATTCTTCTGCGTGGTTTTGACAAAACATACCAACACAAATTATCACATGTGATTTATCAACCAGGAATTCCCGTCATTTTTTTTCCTTTTAAAGAGTTTCAATTTTTTTATTTATTAACATACTTTAAATGCATTCTACTAATATCAATCTGAACAAACGCATGTGTCTAACATAGGTTTTACTTAACCAGATTGTATATGTGTTTAGTAATTCATTATTATTTATCATTTGTGATTTGTATTTGAATGTTCATATAATTTTATTGTTCTATGGACAATAGTAGTTATCCATATAACTACCAAAGGCCGATGTTCAAACATCCACTTGATAACTGAATCCTTACTCTCAGTTCATAATCTTTATAGTTTCAGTTTTCTTTACTATTTTCGTAGTGACCTTTCTCCTATATTGTGCATTATATTTATCTCTATTTACAGAAATGAGGAATATACAAGCCAACCAAAATTTTTATTTTCATTCACTGGCTTCATAACTAGACCTATATCATTTGGCGTATACCTAAATGTCTTGAAATACATTAAACTATAAACCTCTGACATGTCCAGACGTGGATCCAGGAGGGGGGTAGTGGGCCTTGCCCCCCCCCCCCAGCAAAAAAAAAGAGAGAGAGAGAGAGAGAAGGAAAAGAAGGGAAGGGGAAAGAGGAGAGAAAGGGAAAGAAAGAAGAGGAAGAAGAAAAGAAAAGGAGGTAAAAGAAGGAGATCGGGGGGGGGGGGAGGGGGGCTGAAAGGGCCTTGCCTCCCAGACTGTTGCCTCCCCCCCCCCCCCCCATTAAGAAAATAAGAGAGAAGGAAGGAAAGGGAAAGAAAAAAGGAAAGAAAAAAGGGAAAAAAGGAGATAAAGGGAAAGAAAAAAAGAGGAAGAAAGGAAAAGAAGGGGGATATCAGTTGCAATTTTCTCGCCAACAATTTGTGAATCAGGGGGGGGGGCCAAAAGGCCCTTACCTCTCCGCCGGCCCCGCCCCAAAAAAGAGAGAAGGAAGGGAAAGGAAAAGAGACAAGCTGAAAGGGAACAAAAAAGAGAAAGAAGAAAAGGGTGAAAAGAAGGGGAGATTAGTTGCGATAAATCCCGCCAACAACGTGTGGATCGGCTGAAAGGCCCTTGCCTCCCCCAGCAAACCTAAAAGAGAGAGAAGGAAGGGAAGGGAAAGAAGAAAAACAGAGAAAGAAAGGTAGCTAGGGAAGATCAGTTGTGATTTTTCCCGCCAACAAGGTGTAGATCGGGGGGGGGGGGGGGCCTCCCCCCAAATAAAATTCAAAGTGGTTTATTTTTAATTCGATACCGGTGATTTACAAAATGTTGCTGAAATGACATAATTTTCCGAGATTTTTCCTCACTTATAGTAAATTATACTGTTTTATGCCTTCGGTGTAAAATTACAAATTCCTAAATTTACAGTCACGCAAGAAATATGCTCATTTAGAGGCCTACATGTAAGGGCCCGTGGAACAGTGGGGCTCGAGGGCCTCAAGCTCCCCCCGCCAACACTTTTTGTGAAAAAGTATATTAAAGAGAAATAGAAAGAAAGAGAAAAAGGGGGAAAGAATAGTGACCTGCCAGTGTCACAAAATAATGAGGTATAACAATATGCTCATCTCACTGGGATTAAATGCCTAAAACCCCTGAGCTTCCGGGGGCTATGCCCCCTGGACCCCACGCCAATTAGAAACCTGCCAGTGTCACAAAATAATGAGGTATAACAATATGCTCATCTGACCGTAATTAAATCCCTAAAACTACTGAGCTTTCGGGGGCTCTGCCCCCTGAACCCCACCTAGGGCCCTAAAGCGTGCCCCTAGATGCTCGATATACAGTAATTTAATGCCTTAAACCCCTGAGCTTACGGGAGCTCCGCCCCCTGGACCCCACACCAATTAGTGACCTGCAAGTGTCATGAATAAGGTATCGAAATATGCTCATCTGACTGTAATAAATGCCCATACCTCCTGGGCTTCTGAGGGCTCCGCCCCTAGACCCCACGCCAACTTACGCTACGTTCTACCTGATCGTAAATACTTTAGCCCCCCCCCACCCACTTTGAACAAGGAAAACGCTCTCGGCGGTCTCGCCTGCATAACGCAATTCAATATGATAAACCAGAACGTCAATGACGTAGCGCTCATCCGCATCTCTCAACAACAAATATCGTAAATTTTATGTGGTACACTTTTGAACTGGTCAAAAAATTAAAATTTGATGCCCTGGAAGGGACACACCGGTAATTTCATTTCATTTGCATAAAGTACCATAAATAATCAATGGAGCAAAATCTCACAATTCTGTGTAGAAGTTTAGTGTTCCAAATTTAGCTCTACCAGATAAGGCAAACCAAATCAAAATCAGTCAAGAAATGAGGGAAAAGAAGCAATTTTTGTTATTTTTGGAATAAATTTGCATTAATTACCATAATTAATGGAGAACAATTTCAAAATTCTGTGTAGAAGTTTAGTGTAACAAAGTTAGCTCTACGATATAAAGCAAACCAAATCAAAATCGGTCGAGAAATGAAGGAGAAGAAGCCTTTTTTGTGATTTCGAATAAATTTGCATAAATTAGCAAAGATAATGAATTTCACAATTCTGTGAAGAAATTTCAAATCCCCCTCCTAGCCCTATCATATGAAAGAATCAGAATCAAAATCGGTTGAAAAATAACGAAGAAGCATTTTGAAAATTTTGATGTTGATGTCACAACAAAGTGTAAGTTTGTTGACCTTAAATGACTTTTGACCTTAACTTAGTGACCTGAAATTCTACTCACATGATTGGGGAGACTTCATAACCCTATAGTCCAAGTTTCATTGACTAA